AGGTCACCATGAGGCTCACAGGGAGGTCACCATGAGGCTTAGAGGAAGGTCACAATGAGGAAGGTCACCATGAGACTCACAGGGAGGTCACTATGAGGCTCAGAGGGAGGTCACCATGAGGCTCAGAGGGAGGTCACCCTTGGGGCTTAGAAGTAAGGTGGACCCATGAGGCTTAGAGGGAGGTAGACGCAGCTGTGTTGGGTGTTTGGGGCATGTCACCTGTCACTCTGGAGTGTGATGGGTCCCTGGACTAGTGTATCCCACCCGCAGGGACTGTCCCTAGCTGTCATTCATGGGCTCCGCCCAAGCCTGCCGAACCCGTGATAGAGAGCGGGCAGCAGCCTGTGCTCCACTGAGCCCTGGACCGGTCCCCTGAGCTGGAGCCCCGGCTGGGCTGAGCCTGCGGGGCCGGTCAGGAAGCCCCAAACGATCAGGTGCTTCCAGGGAAGCAGGGTGTCCCTCAAAGGGACCCAGATCCCCCAACACGTCCAACGTACCCTGAAAACCTGGATGGCACCCCATGGACCCTGTGTCTTGAAAATTTGCAAATCATCCAGAGAAAAACAGAGCAGTGGACAGTCGCCGTGCTCCAACTGCCCTGCTCTCCAGGACGAAGAACTGGAGCCGGGTTGGTTCACGCAGCAGGTGACTTGAAGAACTGCTGCTGTGGATGTCACCGGGAGCCTCTGCAGAGCCAGGCACTGATTCTGGTCACTCTCCACCAGAGACCCACCGAGGCTGGGCTGGAGAACGGGCAGCTGCTGAGGGTGTAAGTGACCCAGGGCAGACGCTCCCGGCTCTGCAGAAGGCCCCAGGGAAGGGCCCCTGCCCTGGCTGAGTGGACAGGCCTGGCCCTGTAGGCAGCTCCCTTATATTAAGGCGCTCGGGCAGGGAGGAACCCAGAGCCCCAGAGCCACGGGCTCCTCCGCCTTCCCCACGCTGCCGGCAGGAAGCACCCACGTCCCCCTCCACAAAACGCTGGGTTACGTTTCCAGAGGACCCGGGCCCGGCCCAGCCTCTCAAACCTTCAGCATGAGCCCCAGGCCTTCCAGGAGAGCTTTGGTGGCCCAAAGCCTCCACCACACCAACCAGCCTCCAGGACCCCCGCCATGAGCTCTCCCGGGCAGCAGGACCAACCAGGGGTAGCTCAGGACTGTGGTAGCCTTGAATTTCACCAGCCTGCTAAAAGCTGTGTTTAAAACTTATCCATCGTTCAGTTCGGCTTCTGCGACACACGTGGCTACGAACGGCAGGGCAGAGAACACTGGTCACTCTGAGACTTGAGAAACACTCCCTGGGCCTAGGGACACAGCCAGTGCCTGTCAGCTGTGAGTTCAATGTTACAACTCTGGAAGAGCCAGAGTTGGGGTGGGGGTCTGACCAGAGACCAGAGTGTCTCCCCTTGGCTGTGCCAGTCTGCATGAGCCTGGCTGTACCCTGTCGGCACTGATGCGGGCTTGATGTTTGGGGACTAGATGCTGCTGGGTACTGACTGGACCCACAGAGCATGTGGCCAGCCCTGCGCTTGATCTAATTCCCCAGTAACCACAAGGCAGGCGGGGGTGGGACTTCACCCTTTTGTACCTAAGTGACATGAAGCCTAGGCAACGAACAGCGTATTCAAGCCCTTAGCTGGGCCTCGCTGGGAGCTGTTCAGACAGCCCTCGTTCTAAAGCTCTCCAGGGCCATGCTAACAATCCCAGTGAGAAACCATCAGAAAGAGTAACACGGTGTTTTTATAGCCTTCTCGGTGCTCAGCAGAAGAGGACCTGGGAGAAAGAGTGGATAAGTAAATGTGTAACTGGGTAGACAGATGATGGACAGGTGGATGGGTGGGTGGGTGTGAATGGATCGATGGATGGTTGAGTGGATGGATGGAGTGTGGGTGGTGGGTGTGGATGAATAGGTGAGTGGGTAGATAGATGGATGAAAGCATGGATAGATGGGAGAATAGATGGATAGGTGTGAATAAATGCATGCATAGGTGAAGGGGTGGATGGATGGTTGCAGATAGATGAGTATGAATGGATGGCTGGGTGGATGGATGGATGGATGGATGGATGGATGGATGGATGGATAGTGAATGCATAGGTGGGTGATGGATGGATGGACAGATGGATGAACAGATGGATGATTTGTTGTGGATGGGTGGGTGGATGGATGGATGGATGGATGGATGGATGGATAGTGAATGCATAGGTGGGTGATGGATGGATGGGCAGATGGATGGACAGATGGATGATTTGTTGTGGATGGGTGAGTATGAATGGATGGATGGGTAGGTGTGGATAGATTCATTGATGAGTAAATGAATGGGGGTTGTGAATGAAGATATACAACTGAATGCCTAGGTGGATCATGAATGGAGGGCGAATGAGTGGTCGGTTGTAGATGGACGCGTATGAATGAATGGACGGATAGGTGGATAATTGAAGGATGGATGGTCGGCTGTGGATGGATGAGGATGAGTAGATGGTTGGATAGGTGAACAGGCAGGTAGATGGATGGAATCGTGGACGGATGGTTATATGAGTAGAGAGAGGGTGGGTGGAGAGATTGCTGGATGGGTGAATCAGTGGGTAGGTGAGTGCATGAGGGGGCAGTTGGTGAAATTCCTGCAATTCTGGAATTCGGGATCCTCACTCCCCTCCTGACATTCATTCCCTCGGGATGGATCCCGGACCCCACATGGGGAGGAGGTTCCTCAGCTCAGTCCCACCCCTTGGAGGCTGGATGTCTCTGCTGCTCCTCAGGCCAGCGCTCTGCCATCCTCCTTCACCCTGGTGGGTGGCCTGCCTGCCCAGCCTTCCCAGGATGGGGTGGCCATGTCTTTTGACTTCTGGGGTTCGGTCTGACTCCCACAGGGAGTTGGGCCTCACCAGAGCCTTTTTGAAGAAAAACCCAGGGCTCGGTTCTCCATCTTGCAGCCTCTTTCCCTGTCCCAAGCAGGACAGTGTGCGGTGCACAGGGTCCCCGGGGACCCCAGGAGGTCCCCTGCCTCTGTGCCCATAAACCCACATAAGCTGCGGGTGTCTTGGGACCCTCACCCCCCGCCCCCCCGTGGGTGGATGGAGGGAGGGAGAGGCGCAGGACTTTCTCCAGGTCCAGCCAGCTGGTTTGGGAGCAGACCCAGAGGCGATTCCCAGAGAAAACCAGCCATTATTGATTCAAATGGAGGCCTTCTGCACAGCTGGCCGCCGTGGGTGGACCTGGCCAGGAGAAAGCCGGCTCAGAGAGGGGTCCCTGGGCGCCAGGGCCTTCCTGGAGACCCGCTTCCTGCAGAGGTGTGAGCAGTGCCATCCTGTGTCCTCCGCCTTTGAAACGCCATCACCACTGTGGAGGCCCTGGGTCTGGGCCTCGACAGGAACAGAGCAGCTGTGACTCCCGTGGGTCACCCTGAAGGGAGGGACTGCAGCTCTCACCTCCCAACAGGGCTGCGGGGGCTGCAGGCCACCCCCAGCTCTGTGCGCGCTGCCATTCCCCTCGCCTGTGATCGACACAGCAGATCAGTGCCCTGAGAAAGGAGGTTCTGCAAACCTGCAGAAGAGTCATGATGACCAATTGCCATTTAGATCCCCAAACCAGCGCAGGGACCTCGTCCGCAGAGATGGCCCCAGCTGCGGGGCTGATGGAGCCCTGGGGAGGGGCAGGGCGCTGGCCGGCCTGGAAGTCTGGCACCACCCTCCCGGGTCACTCTTACTCCCCTGTCCCCAAGCCTGATGCAGCCACCTGGTCACCCCCCACACACGCCCCTCTTTTCCACACACGTGGAAGGGAGCAGGGACAGCGCACAGCAGCCTCCTCTCTGTGGACAAAGGGAGGGGGTCAGAGCAACCCAGTGCTGGCAGGTCCAGACCTTTGTTCCTAAGACGGGCCCCCGATGAGCTCACGTCCCCACCCAGCGCCTGGCAGAGTGGTCTCACTCGGGATTCAGTTCTTTTCAGATTTCACAAGTTAAACCAAGGTACTGGGTGTCCCCACTCCTATCTGATGGACTTCGGAGAGGCCACAGAGGGAGAAGACAGTCATGTGAGGACAGCGGCAGAGGCTAGAGCAATGCAGTCACCAGCCAAGGAATGTCTGGGGCCACCAGGAGCCGGAGGAGGCGGGAGGGACCCTCCCCAGAGCCTTGGGCGGGAGCACGGCCCTGAGGATGCCTTGATCTGACGCTTTCGGCCGTCCAGGACGCTGCAAAGGCCGCGGAGGCAGGTCCTGGTGGTCCCCACGCTCACTGCAACCTCCCACCTGCCCCCGGTTCATCTGCCCACGGGGCCCTGAAGCAGGAGGTGGCCAACCCATTTCACAGATGATGAAACCCTGCACCGAGAGAAGGAGAGGCCACAGGAGCCCCTGGCGACCACAGCACCCACACTGGCCAGGCCTAGGTCTACCTCCAGGCCAGTTCACCTCCCCGGCGGCCAGTGTCATGACAGAGCGGCAGCCCCGGCCTTCCCTCCCTCCACACAGCCCAGGCCACCATGGCCTGCTGGGTCCAGCGTCCCGTGGCCAGCCAATTCCCCTCCCCATCCCCAGGTACCGTGTCCAGCTAGCCGAGTGGGCACTTGCCTAGGACCTTAGAGGGCTCTGGCCAGCCACCTGGCCCTACTTAGAGCTGAGGCACTATTCTAAGACGGAGCATTTGTCCTGCAAGGCCCTGGGGACAGCCAGCCCCACTGCAGGCCGGCATCTTCCATTTCCTGGCCGCCTCCATCGCCCCGGGCAGCGCGGAATGACTTGCGATGCCTCTGTAATCTTTATCAAGGCTTGTTCCTGGTAAAAAGCCTCTTTGTTTCAGAGAGATGTGATTTGGCCTTTTCTTCCTCTCCTTTATTCCGTGGTTAATATCCCACTTCCCCGAGCCCCGGGGGCAGCGAGGTAGCCCACAGATTGTTCACATCTCACTGTTTTCCTTCTAAATCACACAGAGGCTCCCCGCCCTGCTAAGCACTATCTGGGGGCAGGCGGCGCGGGGGTGTCCTTAACCCCTCGCCTCCTGAGCCGTCAATGTGTCAGACCCCTCAGATGCGTGCGGGGCTCCAGCACTGGCTCTGTGCCCTCCCGGCAGGGTGCATGCCCCGCAGCCCTGTGGGGGGGCTGGGCAGCCCCGTGAGCAGCGCCGTGCAAGGCCTTGGGTTCTGCCCTGAGCACACCAAGCAACTGCCGCCAGACACATGTGACGTCCGCCCATGTGTCCACCCCGCCATCTCAGCCATTTCCAGGTGTGGCTTCTGTGGCAGTGAGCTCAGCCAGGCAGGGCCACCGCCCGTCCCCTCTAAACACTGGCTTCTGTCTTCCCTCCTCAGTCCCTCGAGCCTCTGTTCTGCCTGTCTCTGTGACTTCGACTCCTCTCAGGACCTGATAGAAGTGCAGCCACACAGGATTTGCCCTGTGGCCACCCGCGTATGTCACTGAGCCTGGGGTCCTGGAGGCCATTGATGTAGCATGTGTTGGAACTTCATCCCTTTTTAAGGCTGAATAATATTCCCTTGCCTGCTGGTACACATCCTGCCTGTTCCTCGGCTGACAGACCAGCTGCCTTCCTGGGAGCTGTGTGGGTGAGCGTCAGGGCCGGGTTGTGCAGGCACCTCCTCCAACACACAGCGGGCCTTCAGCCTCGGCAGGCCATTCCCCACTGGGGGAGCGTCCTAACCAGCTACAACAAGGCGAAATCCAGTTTCCCTGTCTGCCCGCTGCCCAGATGCCGGTCCCTGGAAGGGGGTGAGGCTGCCCTCCCCACCCCTTGCTGACTCTCATCTCCTACAGGTGGAGCTACCTCCCTGCACCGTCCACAGGACATGGAGTGGGGGGCCTGGGGGAGCCCCTTGCACTCTGGGCCTGTACACCCCTCTGTCCTGGGTGCTGCTGGCACCATGGCGTCCAGGCAGCCACCTTCTAATACAGGCTGGTGCCCGGGACGGCAAGACCACTGCAGCACTGGGCAATGCCACCGTCCAGCCCAGGCCTCCCACAGGGCCAGGTGTGTCCCCTGACAAGGGCACACATTCTGCCAGGTGGTGGCCCATTCTCTGATGGAAGGGGGACCCTGGGGATCCTGGGAACCAGGATCTGCTCCCTGAAGCTGAGCTGCCACCCCTGGGCCTTGTGCCCAAGAGGCCCGGATCCAACCTGGGCTTCAGGAGGTCCCAGCTGGGGAGGACCCGGGAGGCCACAGATGGGGCATCTCCCCAATCCCCGCTCCTCGGCTCCTCTCGGAGGCCCCACTGATTGGCTGAGGCAGGCTGGAGTCCTGGGGTCCAACTAGAGGGAGCATGGCCAGCTCCTGCAGAGCCAACCAGAGCCCAGAGCACCTGGGCTTGCTGGGCCGTCCAGGACAGGCGGCCTTGGGCAGGGCCAGGCTGGACTGGGGAAGAGGGCTCCATTCACCACCCACCCACCTGTGCTTCTGCAAATGCAGAGGCTTCCAGGGGACTTCAGGGGGCCCAGGGCAGGCAGGCAAGGACCCCTGCCCCAGAGGGCCCCCCACATGGGGCTGCAGAAGGGCCCAGCGGGAGTTCTGCAGACCAGGCTGCCCGAGACAAAGCGTGGTCTTCCCGGGCACGTTCAGGGAAGGAAGTGCCTTCTGTGATTTCTCTTCCCCCTCTTGTCCCCCTCCCTCTGCCGGGCAGTGCTTGGAGGAATGAGGGGTTAAATGCTGAGCCAGCGCGGTGACAACCCCGCCACACTATTTATAGACATATTTATCTCCGTAGCTCCTACCAGCCGCAGGCCTGTGGCTGCCGTTCACGGGCAAGACCACGGACACCCGAGGAAACCAGTGTGGCCCCCGGACCAAGACGTCGGGAGGGAGGCAGCAGCCCGGAGGCCGGTCCCCACTCCTAGAGGCCCAGCTTCCCGGGGGAGGCTGAGGGCACCGGGGTCCTGCTGGACTTGGGTTGCCCTTGACCCAGGCTCTTGTCAGGGGCTGCCGTGAGGCAGGGCGGGCTCCCTGGGCAGCGTGGGCAGAGGGAGGCCATGCTGCCAGAGCCCTTTCTGCTGCTGCCTCCGCTACACGCAGAGCAGGCCGTGGGCTCCCAGAGGCTCTGGCCGCTCTGAACGAGAACCGGGGTCTGCAGCCTT